AATTTTGTGGGGGTCCCCCCCCCCAAACTTCCCCCCCCCCCAAAAACAAAAAAAAAAAAAAAAAAAAAAATCCATCATCATCGTCATCGTCGTGTTGTTCAAAAAAAAATGAAAAATTTATTTTGAAGAGAATTATAAAATTTGAAGAAAATTTAATTATATGTTCATAAAATTTGGTTGTTGAAATTCAAGTCCTTCTTAACCAAAGCAAGAAAAATAGATAATTTTGTTTTTTTTTTGTTTTTTTCATTCTTATTTTCTTGATTCATACAAAAGTTGTAGGTGTTTTTGTTTGTTCATAATTTTTGTCATCATCATCATTCAGGTGAATGGTGAAAAATTAATAATGGTCAACATAAAATGACCTCCGACACATAGGGTTTCCGCATATTTTTTTACCTTTGAAAACAGTTCCAAAAATGGCTGACTGTCCAATGACCTGACATATCTAGCGGCTAGTGACCGAATGCTTAATACATTTTAATCAATTAATCATGGTCACCAACCTGAATCAGCAGCAGCCCGTCAGTCAGTCAGTCCACCATTCTGAGAAAATTATGAACGAAAAAAAAACTAATTCATCTTTCACACCTTAACATAAATGTGTGGAAATTGTTGACAATATCATCTGCAATTAAATGTGTTGATAATTTACCTGTCCACACACACACACACACTAAAATCTATCATTCAATCATTCAGAGTATTTTCCAAAAATATTTTCTACAATCAAACAAATTAAAAGTTGAATTCATAGAAAATCAATGACAGATGGATTATCGAAACAAAATTACTTTTTCCATTTGATTTTATAAACTGAAAAAATCTTGAATAAATATTATTCAAAAAAAAACATTTTTTCGCTCATGATTCGTCACAATCAACACTTCATCATCATTAATGTTATATTATTTGTTGACCAAAAAATGTCACTTTCAATGGAAAATAATCATGCAAATTTATTAGAATAAAACGACAAAAAGATAATTATTCTATACTGGTCAGAGTAAAGAAGAAAACAAAAAACTTTTCATTCGCCTGAATAATCATAATAAACGGTAGCCAAGAATTATGGTGACACTATAGCAAAAATTAATGAACTTTTTTTTGAATTTCATATAAAATCATTTTATATAGTATTTATTTATGATGAAATGCAAATTTTTATCAAAATTTCATCCTAGAACGTTAGACTAAATGATGATAAAACTTTCGGATGATATATACACCCCCTCCCCACACACACACGAATGGTTAATTTAAACATTAACAACAACAACAACAATCGTGAAAATTCTATTTTCGAAAAAAATTGTGGCAGGAAATTGGAGAAAAAAAAACAATAACAAGTAAAAACCGCCATTTCGGAATCAGACACAAACAGACTCAGACAAGAATCAGTGAGAGAAAAAAAGAAAGAATGAATGAAACGAGTATTGACTACTAACTAACTAACCATCACATATACCTACATATTTTTCTGATACATATCGTCACACAATTCACTCAAAGTAATAAAAAAAACGAACAAACTGAAAAAAAAACAGAGAAAAATTGTGATTCGAATTCCAAATGAGAGACATTTATTCATTCAACCAGGCATTCAGCCATAATGATGATGACGATGATGAACGCGCGTTTGTTTTGTTTTATTTGCTCAAAATTAAAATAAATTCCATTTCTATATCCTATACGGATTTTTTCCCATTTTATTCTATCGTTTGATCCAGAAACAGCAAAACTCGTGGACATTGACTATATATCATTTGCTATCTTTTTTTTTCTCTCTCTCTCCTTCCTTCCTTTATATGTGAAAAGCTGGGTGGTTGCAAATAATTTGCAAAGAGTTTTCTATTTAGGTATAATAATAATAATCATCATCATCATCATAACGGCCATATCCATAAATCATTTGTTTGTTGAATCATGAGAATGGAGAAAAAAAATGATATGAATAGAAAAAGGATGGACTTAAAATAATATTCTTTTTCGTCGTTGATTATGATACACTATTATTATTCAACAATTCTATTACGAATATCCATAGCCATCATGGTCAAGTATGAGACAAAACAAAAAATAACTTTTAACAGGGTGATAATAATGATCCAAAAAAACAAAAACAAAAGTTGTTACATTTCATTGTTATGAAAGCTGCCTTTTTTTCATTTATTTATCATACATCAAACCACACATTATGTCAATGATGATAATGTAATGTGTGGTTCATAGTTGTTGTTTTTTTTTTGTAAAAAAACAAGCACAAAACAAGGATACATTATTTGTGCACGACATCTCAATCAAAGTGCCAATTACAAACTATTAGTTAACAAGCTAAAGAGAGAATGAAAAAAAAATTTAAACCAAATGATAATCGTTGGTAATTAAATGGATTTTTTCCATTAGAAGAATATTGAAAACAATAACATGAAAAAAAGAGATGTAAAGGATCTTCTTGTGGAAGCATTATTCAACAAGAAAAAAATTATAAATAAAAGGTGATGATAACATGATCTTAATATTTTTTTTCATATATCTCATTCAAATCCGGAATTCATAATGAAAAACTAATATTTATTTGTTGAGAAAACAAATAAATCATTAATAATATGGCAGATAAATTATGTACTAAATAAATTTTTAGTATAACAACAAGGATGAACATTAATGTTTGAATTTAAACAAACAAAATCATAATCATATAACATTCACCATAGTCATTATTGAGATAATGATGATGTTGATGATGATTATGGTCAATATGCGGTTAAATAATGATACATTTCTATCATCATCATAGATCTGATTATCATTCAGACAAAATGATCATCATCAACTAATCGATGCCTCATCTTTTATGCATTAACATCTTTTTTTCTGAATTGAATAAAGTGAGCTCAAAAGACCTGTACAATTCATTTATTCAATATTGGGTCAGAAATCATTACCATCTTGTAGAATGATCGATATTTTTAGATAATGGCCAAAACCATATGTCATTGATAATATTAGATATTAAAAAAGAAAGGCGAAATCGTTTTAAGTACCTTTACGATTGGTTCCTTTATTAGGCGTTGCATTATGGGTGTGAATATTTTTATTATTATTATTACTATTACTATTTGTTTGCATTGATAGTGTTGTCGTTGTCGTAGGATTTGTTGAAATTGAAGTTGCCGCCGTATTTGTATTGTTCATCACAGTGGCTATCATCATATTATCTTTCACATTACCACCAATCAATAGATCACGATGTCGAGCATAACTTCCGGGTGATGATGATGATGTTGAATGTGGTGATGATGAATTATGATTATGATGATGATGATTATTATTGAGATGATTATTATTATTCGTCAACACTGGTGGTGAATGATGATTTATAGTTGTCGTCGATGTTGATACCGGTGATGATGTAGTTGTTGCAGTTGTTGATGTCGATGAATTTGATGCGGCAGCTGCAAATGCTGCACCAATCAATGCGGATGGTGGTTGTAAACCTAGTGCAGCGGCGGCTGCGGCAGCAGCCGCTGCATTTTGATGATGATGTGTAGCCATTGATGGATTCATCATTAGAAGATTAGCGAATTGATTGAAATTAGCACTTAATAATGAATCAAATGAATAAGCAGCCATTGATGCTAATGTTGATTGAAATGAATGATCATTGGGAAACATTGCCTGATGAGCTGGATGATTAGCAGCCATTGCTGCGGCTGCTGCCGCTACAGCTGTAGCAGATTGTTGCTGTTGTTGAGCACCTAGACCTGTAGCCATAAAACTTGGCATTGTATATGGCGCTATTGGTGATCCAAAATGTGCAAATGGTCCAGGTATTGGTCGACCACCTAACCGTGCTAATGTACCATTTGAAGACGTAGAATTATTACTACCACCACCACCAATACCAAATGCTGATGTTGTTGATGATTGAGGTGGTAATAATGGATTTGATCCTTCCATTGTCAATCGATTTCACTCAATGAAGACAAATCATTCACAAGAGATTCACAGAACAGGAAAAAAATCTGTTAAAGTCACATATCAAGATGATCATCATAATCGTTACTTAATAACAATAAATTAATTAAATTTTGAAAAAGGATTCAGTATGATTTTAATTACACAATAAATAAAGATGCGATCAATCAACCACCAATATTTAATCAAAACATAAAACGAATCAAAGGTAAAATATGCACAGAACATTCAATCAATCAAAAAATTGAATAAGACAGAAAAGCCCTTTGTTGTATGTACGATGAGAATCATTGTTAGTCCAGATTTCAAATGATAATCAAATCGAATGTTTCAACAACACACAGAGATACAGTGTTCGACAATTTGTGAAAACGAACGAACACAGTCCAATAAGTCTATTGACTCTTTTCTCACTCTCTTTCTCTCTCTTTTTTTCATCTGATGAGAGGGGATTCATTCATTTCATTTCAAGCCAAATCAAACACACACGATACAGTTGTAGAATTCAATTCACACATGTGTGTGTGTATGGCGGGTGAGCGTAAAGCGCCCGCCTTTTTTCATGTGTTATGTATGCGAATTTTTTTTTTCAATTTTTTTCTTCACAACCACACTGGACCACTGTCTGTATGTCTGTCTGTCCATGTTTGGTTGATTGAATTGAATTGAATATTTTTCAACTTTTTTTTTGCTGTTGTTTTTCGGGCGCATACGCACACGCCTTTTTTTCGGGGTAGTAACGGTACCGCCTTCTTGTCTCTCGCCCGACAAAATAATAGATCAAAAAAAAAAATCTATTTTCTGCATCTTTTCAGTTCTTTTTCTCTCTTTTTTTTTCGTTCGTTCATCATCATACACTGATATATTTGGTGGAGTGGTAGTAATGTTATCAATCAACTATTATTTCGATAAAGATTCTTTGAATTAAACATTAATTTTTTTTCTCGGTCGGATGTAAACAAAAAAAACCAGAAAAATGAATTTGTTCCAGCAACCAAACACGGTAAGGAATTTTAATCAAAGAGAACAACAATACAAAATAAAAAAATAAATAATTTCACCAAATTCAATTGATTTTCCTTTTGGCTTTTTTCAGTTGTTTCGAAAAGAGGATACGGGTTTGAACAACAATAATAACAACAACAATGATCATAAATAATAATCAAATGGCCAACTAAAGGCCTAAAGGGCGACTATACTACTATAGTATCGGGAATCGACAATTCAGAATCGTTCCGATTTTTATTCATGTTCATACTAGAATCTTGTCAAACGCAAAAAGAACAGTGTCGATGATAATTGTTTTGAAAATGGAGAAAGAGAGAGCATCAAGCAATATAGCAGTACATTGCCATAGGCAACATTTGATATTGTTATTTCGACAACAATCTATCAAAAATTGGAGAAAAAAAGAGAGATAGGAAAAATGTCACACAAAAAACAATCAAAAGAAAAAGAACTGTTTATTTTAATATCAATTATTACAAATGCAAATGGAATCAATTGAAGTAAGCAAGCAAACAAACAAACAAAAATCAAATCATATCCACGGGCAATTCATATAAACATTGCCAATGAAAAAAAATGAACCATTTCAAGATTTTCTTGCTATATGGAATTTAAATGAATGATTATGATCACCACCACCATCATTATCATCATAAGGTCATAGGGTAGTGTCGTTTAATCGAATTTTTTCATCTTATCTTAGCAATAGTAAAAAACAACAACAAATTTCACATCTGTCCATTTTGAATATTTTGTTACATTATGACTTTATATTTACCATTTAGTAATTTTTTTTCATTTTTTTTCTTCATCATCATCATTATCATTAACAACGACAACTATCATTCATTTATTCATTATTATTATTATGAACATAAAGAGTTAAATGGTCATCGTCTTCGTCGTCATCATCATTGATCTGATCTTTTTCCTTTGAAAAGAAATTATATTTAAACTCTTTACAAAGTGCTGATGATAGTTTTTCCGATTCGATTTTCTTCATTTGTATGTATGTACAAATCATGATCACTTTAACATCATTGACCACCAAAAAATCACAAAAAGAAAAAGAAGAAAATTTTCGGGTTTTCAGTATTCTGATGGTGGCGACGGCGGCTTTTTCTCAACCATAATTATTATGATGATTTTATTACATTCATGTAAATTAGCTAATATTTTTTCTAGATATGAATATTTTTTTTGTTTATTTTGCAGAACAAAAATCGAAAAAAAAACAAAATTCCAATATCACATCTTTTTTTCTGGCCACACATTATTTGATGATCATTTGGAGAGAGAGATCCAAGGGTCGTTGTTTGTATGTGTTTGTCGCTATTTTTTTCATTGATCATTGATGATGATAATATTCTAGAATCTTAGATTAATGAAGATCATTTTGTTTGATGCAATCAAACAAAAATATCGACTGAACTTTGTTTGTGTGTTTTGTATTGATGTTTATGTCGGAATAATTATTAGAAAATTTTTCCAGTTGCCAATATGTGTGAAATTGTACAAAAAAAAACAAGACAAACATTGTTATAATTATGAATATGAATTTCATAATATTTTTTTCATACAACATACAAAAAAAACACAAAAGATCATCATAGACAAAACAAAACAAAACAGGATTTTCGTGCTTGATTGAACTTTTCTGTTGTTCTGTGTTTGTTTTTCATTGTTGTTGTTGTTTAATAAAAAAAACAAAGCTAAATAATAAACTAAAATGTATTTGAAATGAAAATTATTTCAAATGAAATCGATATTGATTGATTTAATTGAACAATATTAGTTTCCTGTTTTGTTTTGATCAAATCGATCATTTCGATAATAATGATGACGATGATAATAACATTGACAATGACATCGGCTATAGCCAGATGAATACAAATGGCACGTGCAATAAAACACGTGCTAATAACAACAACAAAACAAAGCATGTATTCGTTAATGTATACATTCTGATCTTGTTAATTATTTGATTACATATCATCATTAAAAATTTCAAATTGAAGAACATATGTTTTGACATCATCATAACACTGAATAAAAGTATCATATCTTTTCTCAATCTCTACTAATAAAAAAACTACAATTAAATTGAACAAAAAAAAAATTGTATGTAACACACACACCTGATATCCGCTGAACTGTCATTGTTTTGACCATACAAACAAACAAAAAAAATCACACCGATCTTATCATCATATAATAATCATGATCAAGAACAATTTATTTCCAAGTTTCGTTGAAAAAAAATAATTAATTGTCATCATCATCATGTTTAGGATGAATTCTTTAAAAAGAAGAGAAAAAAGTCGTTTTCCAAATAGCAACAAAAAAAAACATTTAACGTAGCCAAGTTAAGAAATTTTCTTTTTCAAATCATACACACAGGAGAAAATTCACATTGAAAATTGGATATTTATGCAAATTTTTTTGTTTTGTTTTGCACAAGTTTTACTTGTTTTTTTCTGTTATATATCATGATTACGATGATGATGATTGGTATACATTAATGAATTTTTCAAAATAATAAGTGAATGATGGATGAACAACCTCCCAGGTAGGAATGATGATTATGATTGACATTTAACATAACAAGATTGTGTTGACATTTTCAACAACAACAAAAAACAAACCAAGATAAAATATCCACATTGTAGACATTGTGTGATTATTGATTGTCATCATTTAAGTTAGTAGGCGGTTCGTTCTGAATGTTCGTTATGTCCATTATGTTTTTTTTTAATCACAACGAAGAAACTTGAAAATTTCATCGAATTAATGGTCCATTCAAAATTATGAACATAGAATTGATATTCAACAGCCAACAAACAAACAAACAAAATGATTAAGTTTTAATGTTTATTTTCAATGCAAAAGAAAATTCAAAATGTGTTTTTTATGCCTCCCATTCCATCATCATCATGAAAATCGGAGAAAATTAGATTCTCAAATTCAAAAGAAAAAATTTGCGAAACATGTTTGCGAACCAATTAAAACCAACCAGATTTAAATAATTACGAAACATGAAAGAAAATAAAACTTGAGCTTGAAAATTGAAATCATCCACATTTGATGATGAACATAAGCAAAAAAATTCATGATGATATTTTTCAGCCATAATTTTCTGGAATTAATTTTTAAATTTTTTTTCCATCGACGTTACTTTGAAAAAATGAATAAATTTTTTTTCGCCTTGTTGTGTAAAAATGTCAAACATGAATGAACCATGAAAGTAGCTATTATATATTCATAGACACGAGACCATGGTCTGTCCAAATGAAGGTGATGTCTGTGTCTGTGTGTGACACATAATACCATATACTACCATGAATGAAATAAAATTATGATGTTCAAAAGAAAAAATGTTCGGACATTTTTAACCGATGTCCAGTATATGTTGCATTTTCTCCTGAAATTCATTTCTGAATTTTTAATAATTTTTTTTGCGAAGAAAAAAAAATTTCCATTCATCCATATATCATCGATTTATATATGTAATGTAGAATCGTGTTCATGCATAAACCACTAACGAAAAAAAATGGTAGAATCGAAACGTTTGAAATACAGGAAAAAAACCACCGAAACACATTCAATCTGTCAAATTTTCTCTCAACCATTTTCATTTTGTTCGGCTCGTTACATGTTTGTGCTATTCGAATGTGTGATGTATAGTGTGGCACGCATAAAATTATCACAAACACATATATTCCAACCATTTATTTATTATGAATTGATTAGAAAAAACAACAACCACAAATCGAAGATGGTTAGTAATAAATGTTCGAATTGCACGGTTTATTATTTCATAAATTTAATTCATAAATATATTATTTGGCCACAGTGATGATGAGTGAATTTCTATTATCTACTATACATAAAGCTAACAGAAACAGTCAATGAAGAACAAAAAACAACAACAGCAATTTTACCATAAATTGGATCATCACTTGACATGTCATCATCATTCGGTTGATTCAATCATTTTGTGCTTCATTCATTCACAAAATGGCCAATATATTTTACTTAATTTTGTTTTTTTTTCACTCGTTTGTAAGCAAAAGTACTTGAACAAACAAAAGTCAATCAATATTTCATCATGTCATCATCATCATCATCAAATCGATTCAATATTGAACAAACAAAAAATGGAACAAATCAAACAAAATATAATAAAAATTCAGTCTTTGTAGAAAAAAAACAACGACATAATAAAGCCAAAAGATTATTTGTTCCGGTTGCTCGGGTAATCCAAATGAAACGCAAAAAATCTCGACAGATATTTTTATGCGGGACCTATGAAAATACGGAGCAAAAACAAAAACAAAAATGATTTTTTTTCACGTAAACAATATATTTATTCAGATAGATTGTATTTCAAGATTTTTTTCTTTTCTCTTCGTTCATTTAAACACACAATAGATTTCAATAAGTTTTGCAAAGAATGTATGCAATGTAGTGTAGTGTAGTTGATGGATAATCAATATTATTATTATCATTTTATATGAATATACAAAATATAAAAAAATGATGTGCAAAAAAGGACGTTAATAATTATGTAACGTGACCATTCAGCATTCAGTTTTCATTTTCATTTGTTTTTCCATGTTTTCCATTTATTTGACTATCCTTTTGAATTGATCCAATAAATTGGAATCTATTTACAACGAAAAAAAAAGAATAGAAAAATTAATCAACAAAATCATCATTAAATGGATCATTCAAAGATGATGATTATTAAAAAAATATGGTGGAAAGATGGAAAATTAAAACTTAAAAGTCCTGTTATTTAAAATGAAATGAAAAAAACTTCTTGATAAAATCTAGATTGGCTGATTTTTTTTCCAAATAAATAATAATCAAAAAAATGAATGTTCGGTAATTTATAGAGATAGAAAGATATAGCGAAATGAAATGAAATGATTAAAAGATAAAGAAAAATTTGGAGAATTCAGCAACATCGAACACGCGTGTGTATTAATTAAATCTGACATATAAAGGAAACACAGAAAGGAAACAGATTGGCCCATTGTTATACCGGATTTTTTGTTATTTCCTTTTATTTTTATTATTATTATTCACTATTTTCTGCCCATCATCATCAACATCATTATCATTATTATAAATGTTATATTGGTTGTTGTTGTTGTTGTTCATTTTCACACTTTAACATTATCAATTTTGTTGAATCTTGCTGCATCAGTTGAATGGTTGTAATTTTTTTTTCTTTTTTGGCCCATGGAAAACACATAAAAATATGAACAATCTAAAACGGGTATTAAAACTACGGAATTGATTATTTATGTTGTTGTTGTTGTCTGTCGTCCACCATGCATGATGTTTTTTCTATTGTAAATGATTATCTCGACTTTCGCTATATCTTCATCATTCATTCATTCATTCAACACTTCTTTTTTCAACTAAAATCCGAATCTTTAATAAATTCTTATCAGTGATCTTTCCACTCATTCATTCATTCAATCTACTAATTCGTAGTGATTCAAACGTGAAGAATAATAAATAATTTCTCATTGTGAAAAAAAGTAAATTCATTTTGTCATCACAAATGTGATTGAATGACATGAACATTATTATTATTATTATTTTCCATTGATCCGTAATGATCATAATTCATGTAATTTATTACAAGTTTAGATTTTCTGTTCGTATATGAAATCGCTAGGAACATCTCATACTAAATGTTCGATTTGTTTTGTTTTCTTTTAATGGTGATGAAAAACTGATGTAGCTATATAGTAAAGTCTTCAAGGTGTATCGATATCTTAATTAACAAGTCTATTCAATAGACTATAGACACCTAAAATCAACTGGGTGATGATGATGATGTTGATGATCATCATCATTGTGATAATGATGATTGCTTTTAACATGAATGATGAAGAGAAAAAAATTAATTAGTTTGATGAAAGCTGGACAGAGGCACGAACATACTGTATGGATGAAGATAGATAAAGATTTACCAAAGATGATTTTTTAGCTGATTAAAATAATGATGATGATGATGATGGTGATGATGAAAATTATAATCATCATGGAAACAACAAAATGATGATGTTAATATCATGTTTTTATGATGATATTGAATCAATGGTTTTGTTCATCAAAACTTACTTCGTTTAATGTAGGAATCACGGAGATCATTACGTGCAGATTCCTTCATTGCATCATTCGGTATCGATGATCTACGATTGATCACCGAATCTAGGGCTTGTATCCATTGTTGCATTTCATCGGCTGTTTCGACGCCCATACACCAATTCCGGCCTATTGAATAATTTCATTATTTTGTTGTTAAATAATACAATTAATACAGATTATAACACCATCTAGTGTTTAGGATACTAACCCGGAGTTATTAATGTGAATGAATGTCCTTGTTCAAAATCTTTCATGCCGTTAATGATTCCCATCTGTACGGAATATCCTTCACTAGAATCGCCGATAAAAATTTCACCTTTAGGATATGGTTCCAGTGGATGTTCGAGATACATTAGTTTTCGATTTTCATCAAGAATAAACCACCGTTTTTTATATGAATCAGATGAACGTGGACCAGTTTTCCATAAATAACCTTCTTTAAGATAATCGCGACTTAAACAGAGTATTAGCTCTTCAACTGGAACTTCGGGAAAGGCAATCTGTAGGTGGCGAAGTTTTGTTGCACGTATAGCGGTATACCAATCAATAATATCTTTGCCCGAATCGCTATAGACAAAAATACTTCGTGTAAAGCCATCTTTATTCCAGGATATTTGCAAGGCATTCGGATTATTAATTTTATTCGTACAAAATGTAACATTAGCCGATACAACTTTAATCACAGCTTTCGGTGTTTTGCTTGTCTATTTTTCACATCAAACAAAAAATGGAAGCTAATTAATCAAAGGATCAATTTAGGAAAAAAAATACATACTTCTTTAATGAAATATTTGAGTGTCCCTTCCACCGATGATAAAACGAATTTTCGTTGAAGAAATTTTCCATCCTCTTTGCCACGTTTATATAGGAATCCTTCGAGATAATCATCTGCATATTCAGTCATAGGCTCGGAAATGAATTCTTTCCGTTCATATTTAGCACGAATCCATTGTTCGCGTAAAACACTTTGTATTGAATTAATAATGATTAAATTGGAAAATCGTAATTTACATACTGTGGATCATGTGGATTCGGACGGCGATAATATAATGGAACATGACGTTCATAATAAACATTCGAACGACAATTACCATTATTTTCCATGGTTTGTACATGTGATATTTCCCAATTATCTAATTTGAGCGATTTAATACGGCTGATATGAATGCCCATCTTACGATGAATACTGTTGTAATGAATGTTAAATTTGTAAAAAATAGAAAATTAATAGATATCAAACCTTGCACATTGAGTACAAAGAAATACACCAAGCGTATATGATGCCCATTCGGGACTATCATCGCGACAATCTGCACATCGTTGATTGCCTTCAATCTTGAGTAATTCAAATAAACGTCGACGATTACTTTCACTCATCACTCATCGATAATTTGCTGATAATAGATATTCCGAACAAATCATTCAACTAGAAAAAATAAAGAAAACAAAATTAAAATACTCCGAGTGATTTATTCAAAATAAAAATTTATCGATTCGAAGGTATATTTCCGTTGTCGTCGTAGCCGTTGCTCTATTGATGATCATCAAAAAGTTGTGTGATGGCCAAACAGCAACGAAAACGATCAATTCGACTATGTTTCGTTTAACATTTCGTTTATACTAAAAAACAAAGCAGCAAAGAAAAGCGAAAAAAAATCAGGAAGGAAATCGTTTGGGGATTACATACGCACATCAAAGTAGCAGCACACAGCAATTCGATTTGATTTATCAAGAGCGGAAAAATGTTTAATGAACAAACGGGCAAACAAAATTTCGAAGAATCAACAAACATGACAAACGTCATTATAATTTTATTTTTTATATTTTTATTCAAATCAAAATCAATCATTTGTTTTATCTCATTATCATCAGCACAATTAAACGAGAAATTTTATTTAGAAATGTTGATTCACAAAAAAAATGAAAAATTTCTTAAACACTAAATAAATTTGATTATTACTTAGCAATAACAAAAAAAAACATTTGTGAACCAAAATAAATACAAAGCATCACCATTTTTAAGATTTTAAACCGAAAAACTCAAAAAATAAGTTCCATCATGTCTAATGAATTACATTTGAAGAAAAAAATGTTTTCATTCTATTGTAAATATAGCATAGTTTGGGCCAATATTAATTGACAATCATCGATCACTGATGGAAAAAAGGAAAAAAAATAACAATAATTTTCATTGTTAATTAAATAAAACATTGTTTTCTCACTAAAATCGATTATAATTGAATTCAATTAAATTTGAATGGAAGAAAATATAATTATTGATTAATTGATTTATATTCATCAAGATAAATATCTGGACAAGCAGACCAATCCTGTTTGTCTTTACATTTCCAATAAGTATCCATAAACATATGTACCGGATTATCAGTGATTGGATCTTTATTCTTTTTGAACCAAACTGGTTCATATGGAATATATGGTTGACCTTTAGATGCCGCCACTTCGGCTTCTTCTTCACGTTTACGACGTACAGTACGTTGTTTTTCTTCTAATTTACTTTTCACTTCATTTGCTTCATCCCAAAAACCTTCTTCCATCAATCGTTGATCAGGTCGTAATCGGCTATCTGTAGGTGCAACACCTTCTTCTGGTTCATTCAATTGCACAGCAAGTAATGTCATATTGTACATCTTTTCATATTCAGGTCTATGAAATAAAAGTAAAATTTTAATTTTTAAAGAAATAGATAAAATAACAAAAACATACGAAGGAAGAACGCGTCTCCAAATCAATTTCGGAGTTCCGGTTTCTATCACAGGTTTAGAACTTTTGGACGTTAGCTGTGTCGGATTTATTACTTTACAGGCTTCCATTTTATTGTCCCAAGTTCCGTTCAACACCCATTTGATTTTTTCATCCTTACTGAGAACGACACCAGTTACCTGCCAAATGAATCGATTAATTTCTGAAAAAATGGAAAAAAATAAAAATTACACCTTTTTGGGCGTTTCACGGCTAAAATAACTATACGGGTGAAATGTAAGGTGACAAGAATCACCAGTTTTGTGATTAATAATATTCATTTCACCATGATTATCTATCCATAATTTTCCAACAATAATATTATTAACCGTAGTATTCACTTTACGCCATGTATAATGATTTTTCGATGCTGGAAATTCTAAATGCGTTATATCCAAGGGATTGATGAGCAAATATTTCCCACGAAATTTACTCGTCATGCTAAATTCACGCCAACAGATCCAATCACGAGCTTGACAATGTTGAGCAAGCATTGGTGGATGATGGCTCACCTAAAAATTAAATTTTAAATATTATTTTGTCATCAACAAACTTAGCTTCACCTGTTCAGAGATACATCTCCATCCAAGATCATCTGTGCGATCGCATTCATAAGTTTCACCCAATAGCGGATTGAAAGGTTTATTGGTTCGATTGGCTGTTGTTGAATAACAAGTAACACTAAATACGGCAACGTAGACTAACTGCTCTAATGGATCACTAATTTTGGCAGCTTTATGCAATAGATCAGCATATTCAAATTCTTCAGTCATACGCTGAAGCATTGAAAGTGGTTCATTAAAATTGACTGGCATCGGAATTTTTGTCAATTCTTTGCCGATGCAATTTTTCATTATTGACCATAGATTTAGACTATGATTTGGACGATAGGGAATTCTTGTACGTCGTTGTCGAACAGGTCGCTTGGTAGTCGTCATAATGGCCAAATCATTAGAAGTTTGACTATCAGGTCTTTCATTTTTACTACTATCTAAATTATCAGTAGAATTGCCATTTGACGGTTCACTTGTTTTACCAGCAGATGAATTGTTTGCCGTAAATGAAACGGATTTTCGTGTAACAACATCGATTTCAATTTCTTCATTATCTTCACTGTATGAATTGGCTTCATCGTCATCATTATCTTCATCATTACTATTGCTACTATCATTCGCCGAGTTTAATTTTTTTCGATTTTTTGACTTTTTATGATTACGTTTCTTACGTTGAGAATTTTCACTAGTTGGTCGATCAGCGGTTGGTGATGAAGTGGATGGTGTTGGGAAGATACGATGAGCTTTACCGGGGAATGTGACCGAAAATTCTGTTGCTGAATTCGCTTCGGCATCATAAAATTCTTCATCTTCAGTATTCTCGTTCTCAGATTTATCACGACGACTAGAAGCACTATGTTCGGAAGTTGCATGCTGTTGATGTTCAATAGCACGTTGTTCAAGATGTGATTGTTGTTCGGCCAAAGTTTTAACTAGATCTTCAAGATCAGCACGTGTTTGCGATTCATGTTGTAGCATTACTTGTAGCTTACGATTGTGTGCCTGAGCACACAAGTAAAAATCTATACTTTTAGTAATGATGGAAGTACAAGTCAAATAAAGAACCGTTACACGTTCTTTTATAGTGCGTAATTTTGGTAAAAATTCGGGTGGGCAATTTTGTTCGCTCTGTTCACATTGATCTAGCAATTGTTGAAAAGCATTACTTTGTTTCGAAAGAAATTCTTTTTGTTGCTGCAAATCATTCAATTTGGCCTGCATAGTTCTTAACATTGTTTGAATTTCGCTAAAATTTTGTGTGATATCAAAATAATCATCATATTCTGCATCCATTTGACGGATAAGTCGAACTTTAGCCAATTCGATAGCAGAAATCCAATTTTGTTTGTCCACTTCATTATGTGCACGTAGATGAATTGTTTTCGGGCCACTAGAAATATCAAATGAACAGCTATCATATGAATGAAGTATAGCTGATTCAAGATGTATTGAACCACGACAGGATTGATTACATTCCATTGGATTTCTTAAACAATAAATTAAATCGGATTAAATTCAGAATCACTGATCGAATATTCACATACCGATAATAAGAAAGTTTTGTGTTACTAAGAACAAAATATCGTTTCTGATAACCTTGAATATAGTTGGTCCATTTTAAAAGCCAACCTTTCATTTCGGTTTGTGCAGGTGTACGGGCCAATGATGATGTTGATGCTATCGATGTACCATCAGTCGACATTTTTAAATTTTTTTTAGGAGTAATTACGATGAGCAAAATAAAATGAAATGCTTTTTTCGATTCAGGAGAAAATTCGATTTGAGGAAAAACGGACTAGAAATTTTTTTAAAACTTGTTTCGTTTTCAAAGGAGAAATAAAGGATTCAATCAATCATCATATAAGATGAAATTATTGACAAATTTTGGTCACTGTCAAAAATGAAAGAAAAAAGAATTTTTTCAAATTAAAAAACCAACAAACACTGTTATAATAATAGAATGAAAGGAAAACAATTGAATACGATTTCAAGGAAATCAAATATTTGTTGATCAATTATATAGTGATTTAATTCTATTCAAGAAATAGATTTCACATTGCTTGATTTTTGTTCATAGTTCTCAAATAGTTCAAACGAATGTCAATAAATGGCACTATGATGATTGTATATTTTTCAATTAAATAAATACCAAATGTTTATCAAAAATGTTTTCATCATAGGTGATAATCATTACAAATCTAATCTAATCACATCATAAAACTATCAACACCGTGAAATAGATGAAGAAAATTCAGTGAAATCATTAGTAAAGTACTTACTTTCTTTCAATAGAAGTATCGGAGAAAAATATGGGTTTTTTGTGTTGTACGGAAAAAAATATCGTTTTCTTATTTGTAAATGTTACTGACAAGCATCGTTTTATTGTTTGTATCTTTTTTGTGGGTGGTATTGAGCATTTGTTTGTCGAGTGACTGAAAAACAAAATCAATAACTTTGATTTAATGACTACCAATTTTGATTGATTTGCATGTACATAATAATAATAATCAAAAATAATTGCAACCAAAATGAAAAAACAAATCACGACCAAATCTTCACCTGTATGTTTGTCTAGATCCACGACGACGACGTTTATCGACGTGTTTTATTGATTTTTTTTCGGCTAAAATCATTCAATATGCAACTGCGCTAGTGAAAAAATTTTGAATGAAATGAGAGAGAGAAAAAAACAGACGAGTAATGAATCCAAAATCCAATTGAACATTTGATGATGTTGATGATTATCATAACTCAACAATCCAAGCTAGTTGTACACACACTAACAGGCAAACCTTTTGTATACATTAAAAAACATCGTCTTTTTAATGTTACCATCATAGGATAAAATGAATCCATGGCGTTACCTTTTGACAGCTTTTTGAACTAAATGAAAAAATTGTTTTTAATGAATAAATGACAAAATCATCATTGGTATCCATCCGAGAAAATTATCGCTGATATAAATTGGCAAAGAAAAAAGGAATCGATTGCGCAATGTCATATTTTTTTCTATTTTCTTTGTACATGAGCAAAAATTATTTGAATCAAAGCAACAAAAAGTCTAATTTAATATATAACCTTAAAAAATAGTATCAACACATTGAAAAAAGCGAAAAGGAAAAAAATTAACACTTGAAATCCAAGGGATGTAAAATGCAAGAGAAAAGGGTTGTTTACAATAATAATTTTAATAATGGCACAATATACGAGATTAAAGGGCATATGTATTATTGTTTCTTCATTGCCACAATTTTAAAATCTGTTTTGATTATTTATGATGATTGTTAACATATTGATCACATATTTGATTTGAAAGCTACAATTTTGAAAGTTCTGCAACAAGCCATTCCGGTAAACTGATTCGTAATCGATTTAATAATTTTGATAAGGCTAAATTATGATGCCAATAATAGCGATGTAAATATTTTACAGCTAATCGATCAATTTTTGGATATTGTCGTCCTTTACTTTTTCCCAGACATTTAGTGCCGTTTGTTGATGGATTTATTGAACAAAAGAAACCTTTATGGTGATCAAATCTTATCTTTTCATGATAATTAATGTGTGGTTCAAGCTTAAGAAATGTCTGTAAACGATCCATAACGGATATCGGATTATTTCGTAATTCTTCCCCGTCAATGATTGTAACCTTGATGAAAATAACAAAGGATTTAAAATAAAATAAATTTGAAAAATCGGGACATACCTGCGGTGAAGGGAAAAAAGACAACCAACGTTCAATGTGAATGGCATACATGCCAGGATTGAGGCATCGATTCCGAAGATCATGTAATCTTTTCATAGTAACTTTATCTATTAGATGTTTGTTCGGAATATTGAGGCTAACCACTTCGTAGAATGTAAAATCTAATGCAACACTTAGATTATGGACGCGCATATGTTGATACCAGGAGTAAGCTCGTAGTGCTGGATTAATCAATATGATCACAATGCGAGTATGCGGCAACAATGAATGAACACGCATCGGCACCTGTTCACCATCAAAGTATGTACTACTTTTCTCAAAATAATGCATTGATTTTTCCGTATAAATAGGTGGTGTACGAGCAAAATAATTTCGTTGATTATGTATCAAAACTGAAACATTTACATTATTGACGGTAGGAGTAGAGTTTGAAATTGGTGATGTAGTCATGTTGAATTTATCTTCCAGATTTGACAATGGGAAAAATTGTAAATACCAATCAATACCTTTATAATAATTGGGACCATTGAAAAATTGAATCTCTTCAAATGTACGATTACTTGGGACATTCGTGAGTAATGATGGGTGAAGCTGTAAAAATGTATACAAAGCTGTAGAACCAGTTTTCTGTGGTCCTACGATTAAAAATCGTGGAAACTGGTAGCAAGATTTCTTAGGGAACCATATATTATAGTGGCGTTTATCATCGCAAGGATTCTAAATAAACAAAAAGAATTTAATCAATCATGTTAATAATTAAACAATAATTTACCGTCCAAATGGGATCTCGTTCTTCTGGGTAAATTTGAAAATATTTCTTGGCCATTTGAATTGGTGATAGTGAATGTAGCTCTAAATTGGTCCAACATTGAAGGAATTTTAAGACAGATTCAAATACATATAAAGCTAGACGGTCATTGGCATAGTTGGATTGATGCGTCATGAATACATTAACCTGATTGAATATGAACGAAAAGAATAAATCACCGCCGAATATGCTTTTCTCCAATTTATCACGGCCACCTGGATATCGATCAATAAAAATCGTATGCGTATATAGACCACAAGTTTGTCGTGGTAAAACCATAATGCCTTTATGGATAAAACCACGACGTAAATAAACCGGTCTTAAATGTGGATATTCTTCGGTACTCGTAACCCGTACGTTCCAAACATCCTTCCAAGCATCATACAATGGTTCATGTACAGGATACACACCCGAATGATGTGGTGAAACAATGTAATCACTATCGACAGGCAGATTATTTTTGCTAGCAAATTCTTGATTAGTTATCATTTCAATTTCAATAGCTGTTTGATTCATTGTAATATGCGCCTGACTATGCGAATAAGTATGACAGAACCAACGAAAATTTCTAGCCATACGTATCATTTGATCATCACCTTGATTTTCCGAATCGAAACCTCGATGGAAATATTTTCCGGAAAATCCAACATTGAATCGAAATCCGGGTATGAAAAGTTGAAGACGAGTTTGAAATTCAACTAATTCATCAACATCGGCCTTTTTCATTCGGGTCCCACGCTCACCAACGAAAATGTCATCAATATCAATCTGAAAGTAACGTTTAATTGGCAGACTTAGTTTTCCATCGGAAAGATAATGCAGGGAATCGATAAACAACAATTTATGAAGCCAATGATCAAAACCATTACCGAATAGTACTCGTTGGATGCCATCGAAGGAACCATTATCCTGCTCATATAGAATAAAAATTATGAAGATCAATTAGTAATCCACAGAAATTTCAACATACGAGTAATACTGTTGTCATTAGATGTGCCTTATAATTATCAATATTTTGTTGTTGTTTTAATTGTATAGAATGAACATGACTACGATTAAATGTTGAATAACGATATCCACCAGGATAAGTATCGACAAAGAAATCATTTGTCAAAGCTTGAGCTATAGGAATGAATGAGTTTGGATAAAGGATTGTGACATTAGATATACGATGTGGTTCGAAAATGAACCAATCGTTACCAATGATTGGACCAAGACTGATTGTGCCAGCACGTGTAATATGCAAAAAATTTGTAGCAGCTGGATTTAGTTGATAGTCTTTAAGTTTATAACCACTTTTAATCTTTACAGGATAGTTAGCATCCAAATATTGTGAAATGATTGTCGATGAAGATTCGTTTGCAGTATTGTTGCTATTTACAATGAAACCGATGATACCAACATGAAATTGTCGACAATAATCATCCAATAATTGACGACTGTATTTACTTAATTTGAAATATTTCTGCAAGTTTTCAAATATTATCATCGAGAATTTTCCCTTATCTTGATTTGTGAATGATGTCGTTGACCATGGTCGACCCGATAACTCGGCTTTATATTTGAATCGAAGTGATTCGAATATTTCGATTAGTTGCCGTCCAAGACGCGAATATTGTGTTTCAACAAATAACAGAATTCTACTGTCTGAACGTAATCTATGATTGGATGATGATTTGAACTTTGTGGAAAACAATAATTGACCATAATCTTCGATAGAATTGGAGGGATTTCGTGCACGAAAACAATAAAAATTAACCTGTGGTGGTATTCTTATCCATCTGAAACAAATTTAATCGTAAATATGAATTCATCAGAATAGACAAAATTACCCTCGAAATTGATTTGGTATCAATTCATTAAAATAAAAGAATGAAATGATTGTCAACACAATCGATATGATTAGCCATCGACGCAATGAGATACGAGATAATAATGAGATCAAAGAAAATTTTTGACGAACGTGATGATTACTAACAAAGCCGTTAATCGCAAACTGCCCATCATTATTATGGCTACCATAGATGCCATTCTGTAATAATTTATGGTGCATAATTTAATCAACGTAAGTCATATGAATGACTAAATCTTTGTAAAACGAATCGTCCAAATCACATTTTTTATTTTAATGAAGAAAGAATATTTCGACGAATGAAAACATGTAAATTCAGATCAGAATATAACTATTCTGACTCAATAGGTTCACAGATCGATTTGGTCGAAATGGACGCAAAAGAAAAAGCGCGAAAATTGAAAAATTGGACTTTCGAGATTAAATTTTTAATTTAATTATATCAAAAAAGGTGAGAAATCATTAGAATATTCAATTACAATTATGGAAGGATAATAAAATAATGTAGACAAGTTGAAATTTGGTGAAACAGACAGACTATTTTTTTTTGTACCAACAAATATGCTGAAGCAATGAAGATAAATTTTTTCATCGAGGATTATATCACTTATATAATTCAATTATTTACCGATAACTCATTATTATTAGTATTGTTTGATGCAGAAGAAGATTTGGTTTCATCCGTTGATTTGAGATTGGAATTAGCTTGATCTGATTCGTGAATTTTGTTTGTCGAAGCAGAAATTTTACCACCGCCTCCTACTATGCACCGACGATTACTGGCAGATGATGTTGTTGACTGTGATTGAGTATTGTTATTAATATTTGATTGTTGTTGCTGAATCCGTTGCATAGCTTGTTGTTGACTGCGTATATCATAATAGGTTATACCATCACGATATGATTCTGGATAGCCAGATGGGGTCAAAGCTGCAGCCGTTGAACCAGATCCAGAAATAGGAGGGCCGGTCGAACCAGTATTACCACCTATTTGAACATTAGGATAACCGGCAGGCAAAGGAGAAGATTGCTGCCCAGTGGTTGCCGTTGGTTGTGGTGGAAATTGTGGATAACCAGAAGGAAAAGCCGCAGCAATGGCTGCAACAGTAGGATATCCAGTCTGTCCACCAGCAGTCATGAGAATAGATGCTGAATTTTGGGCTGTTACTGGTGGTCTTGTCTGTAAGTAACGATCCGATTCAGCCGTGCCAGTAGCCGATGCTGTTGTATTCATGAATCGAGTGGTCACATGAGATTGATGCGGATGAGGTGTATGATGAGTTGCAGCAGCTGCTAATGTTGGTGGATAAGTTGCTGTCGTTGGCAGATAAGGGGCTGCAGCCGGATGATACGCAACTGTCGCAGCGGATAAATAATAATTAGCTGCAGCTTGTGATTGATCGGCTGCATAAAAATGAGTTTGAGATAAATTTAATGGCCCAGTGGCAGTAGTTGTACCCGGTCCTGTTGACTGACCGGAATTCGGATAATATGCCATTAATGTGCTTGCTGCTGGAGGTATGAATGCTGTTGCTGTTGCGGGAGCAGCAGCGGATGTAGCAACCACATTAGGACCACCAACAGTAACTGATGCAGGTGATCCGTTTATTGATGATACATAGTTATGATGTCCATGATGAGGATGATGATGATGATTTTGTTGTTGTTGACTAATTGATGATCCAGTTGCAGTTGATGTAAAATTTCCTGCCGCAGTTGGTTCCACACCTATTGTCGCAGCAGATGGTTCATAATAAATAGCATTCTTGACTGTCGTTGTATCGGTTTCAATATATTGAGGTGCATTATTAATTTCTGATTGATGAGGCTGTGAAACATTTGATACAGTCCCAGCATTTGAAGTCAGATTTCTTTGTTGTTGTTGCCGTAATGAAGAATAACGTTTTATCATTGAATCATCATTATTGTTAGAAGCGTTAATTGTTGCTTCATGATGGTGTACCATTACGTTAGATTCATTATTATTATTATTATTGTATTTCCGGTTGTTGGTTGTACTATTATTATGATTGTAAATATGATGATGTGATTTTGATGATTGTTGCCGATGATTATTCCAGGATTGATTACTGCTATTATAATAATGAGAAGTGACTTTATTGTTTCGCGAATGTGAATAACGTGAATTTTCAAATTGTAAACTTTCAACAGCTGTTGTTGTAGATGATAGATTATTTGATGGTTGCTGTTGTTGACGATACTGTTGGCTATACTCTTGAAGAGAATGACTACCTATATTTGATTCCGATAAGGTTGCTGTTTGAACTGATTCTGAATGTGAATCCTCATTTGTTTGATTCGTTTCATTTGAGGAATTTGGTACTTGATAATAAATAACTTTACTTTCGTTATTAGTAGCAGTAGCGGTATTCTTGTTTACAGATTCTTGAGGAATACTTTGATCACTCATTTGATTGGCTGGAGCATCATTTTTAGATGTTGACATTAAAGCTGGAAAATCTTCGTTAGTAAACATTGGATTACCACTTTGGTTATTATTGTTATTATCTTTTTGATCAGCAACACTGATATCTGTGGTTAGACTTTTTACTTTCTGCGTTATTAAATCGCTTCCACTTTCATCATTTGATTTATTCGATGGAGTTGATGCTTTCAAAATCGGTTTTTCTATATTATTATTGATGTTATTCGAATATGATCTATTACCGCCTGATTTATTAGTGAAAATTCGATCATTTTCAAAGATTCTTGGCGAAGAATTATCATTATGTTGATGATGATGATGATGATGGCTATTACCACTAATATTACTATTTCTATATGATAACAATATTTTGGCATTCGGTGACACATCTGTAGATTTTGATTGATGGGACTTTCTTGAATTATTCAAACTACTATGATCATTATTACTAGTACGATCAAACACTCGATCTCGTTTATTGATGGTATTGGGCAACGAAGATTGCTTTTGAAATGAGTTATTGCTCAAATTGTTGCTAGTATGATGATCATTCTTGTTCGATGATAATTTTGATGATGTACCTACGGCGTTGGATGATCGCGATTTCATAATCACTTTATGTAAAGTTTTCTTAGCATAGGCATTCTCATCGTCCGATCGTCGTGAATACCGTTGAGGTCCTTTACCATATTTACTACGACGATTTAATCGTGGTGCTTCCGTTTCTGTGCGTATATCATAACCATAAATTTCGATTAATTCTTCACGTGTTTTCGGCTTTTGATCATCAACATTGAATTTATCATGATGCCATTTTTCACCACTATCCCATATGGATTTCTTTTTATTCACTAATTGGGCTGCCATGGTCGTTTTTGATGATGATTCCAAAATATTAGTTTTTTCATGCAAAGATTTTCCTTCTTGTTGATCTTGATCAGATTTTTGTGATTGATGATCATATACGCTATCATTCATATCATCGGAACATAGTTTCATTGATGAAAGCATTGATTTTTTCCCAATGGCCGATGTAGTTTTGACATTTTGATCGTTAACCGAATCATTCATTTCATGTTCTTCACCAATAACATTTAATGGCTCATCATTTTCTTTGTTTTTTGTACCATCTTCATCATTACCACGATCATCATGCTCAAAATATGATCCTTTTCGTGGTATATATTGTGGATTACGTTTTGCTTTTAATAATTCAGCTTTAGATAATTTTGCAGATTTTGGCAAAGATTTAGGTTGGGTTGCATTTGTCGTATTGATCATACACTCTTTGTTTGTATTGTCATTAAGATTCACATTTTCTTCATCAAGCATTGGCTGTATGGTCTTATTTTTTGATGGTATTGATTCTTCACCATCACCACATTCACGGGGATTCTCATTATTATTAGTATCTTGACAATTATCGATAATGTTATGCTTATCATCTCGGACAGATTCATCATCCTCCTCCTCTTCCTCATCAACATTGTCACACATCTCATCCTCACCGATATTATCAGTCAATTCTTCCTCTTCTTCTACATCATTGTCATCATCATCATATTCTTTTTGTAATGCATAGGAATTATCATAATAGCAATTTGAAATTTCATCTTTGTCATCATTATTATGAATTATCGATTCATTTGATTTTTCATCGATTTTTCCATCTGATAATGATTGTTGTTGATGTTGTTCCAAATTGGCATCATCATTATCATTAAAATTATTATTCTGGAATAAAAGCTCTTCTTCATTTGCACTTTCATATTCAGATTCTCCTGCATTCGATGTTGATGTATTACGAAGTTCTGGTTCACTTTCCTAAATCAATTTAAATCATAAAAAAACAAATGATCAATTGATATTAGAATGAATATGAAATCAAAAAAAAATATCGGTCGAAAAATAATAATAAAAAAGTTAAAAATAAATAAAAATAAAAAAAGGGAAACTCTTACCAAAGGTTTTGAAAAGAATTTCTTTAATTTTCTATCCTATATAACAACGATCATTATTAAAGGGAAAAAATGAAATCAATAATCAGAAATGAAAATATAAACAGCAAGCAAACAAAATAAATAGAAAAAAAGAATAAGAGGATATGGAAAGGCAAATCGATTTAGAAAATAATTACATTATCAGAATTATCCGAATCATTTATATTAGAATAATGACCATCATTTTTTTTGACAACAGCACTTGATTGTTCGAACAGTGTAGATGATTGAATTTCTTCGCCTTCAATTACATCGATTTGACTATTATCAATCGATGATTGATTCGATATTGTCGAATTCTCCATGACAGCTGATGATATTGGATCGTCATTCATTAGAATGAAAGAATATGATTAATTTGTGATGCCAGTGAACTGAATGATTTTATATAAACAAAAGAATGAATTTTTTTCCAAAATAAGCATATACACGCACATCCAAAATTCTGTGGATTTTATACAAGACCGTCGATATTAAAATCGATCGGTAACATAAGATGATAAATGTTCGTGATTTCGAGTCAACCGTTATATCTGTTAATTTAAATGAATAAATTTAATTGTTAATGAAAATTAGAAATTGTAACATAAAAAATTCATGATTTTCGATGTTTCAGAGTTTTTAATGTATGTGTGAATGTTTTGTGTATATATGTGTGTGTTGAGATGTTAACAAATAAAAGACACAATGCTCACATACAAAACAACAAACTCACAGAAAAAGAAAAAAAGAGGAGAGAGATTGCCTTTACCCGAAAACACATTGTTCTCGAAATACGCATGTGCATTGATGCAAAAAGTAAAAAAATTGCCTATATCCACATTAATGGTATAACCTAATGGACAGACATTTGTTATTGTGTGTATTAAATTTTTTTGTTTATTGTGTAAAACTGAAAAAAAAGTTAAAACTCAAAAATATAATCAAACAAAAAATTTCATTGAACACATTATTTGTTAGTGAAAATTTATCTTTTTCTTCGATAATAGTAAGTGTCAAAATTTAGTAAAAACTTTCGCATTATTGTAATAAAATTTGCCTTTGATTTGGAGATTTGATTTGATTTAATTTTGATTAATTTTTATAAAGTTTTTTCATAGAACATTAGAAAAATGCTCGGAAGTTGGCGAAATAAAAAAGTACCTTCGAATAATGAAGCGGATTCATCTTCGCAGGCAAAGAAAGCTCTTTCATCTAGAGATCTATTTCTTCCGCGAGGTGAAACACTTTTTTTATTGATTTTCAAGAAATTAATATTTTGTTCTTATCAATTAGATATACAAGAATTGAAAGACGATCTTCCATCAACATGCAAATTCATAGTACCAAATCCCAACGAATTACATATTCTAGAGTTATGGATTACACCGCCACGTGAATCAATGTGGTATGGCGGCCGATTCAAATTTGTTATCGATATACCATTGGAATATAAATATGCAGTAATTTTGTTCAAACTTTTTTTCTTTTCAAAATTAAATTTTTTCTTTTGATTTAGCCACCAAAAGTACGGTGTCTAACACGTATCTATCATCCAAATATAAATGAATCGGGTGAAATTTGTTTGAGTATCTTACGGGTTAGTTTCGATGAAAATGGTTGGCTACCGACACGGTCATTGAAGGATATTGTCTGTGGTCTCAATTCATTATTCACTGTAAGTTTTAAAATCACTTTTGATACGGATGCAATTAATTGTTTTAATTCATTTCAAATTTAAGGATCTATTGAACTTCGAAGATCCACTCAATTCGGCAGCAGCAGAACATTATCTTCGTGATCCAAGGGGATTTGCACGTCAAGTAAAACAATATATCGACCGATATTGTTCACATTAAACATTAAATAAAGAATTTTTCAATTCAATTTTCTCATTTCTTTCTCTCTCTTTCGCACACATGCATACATTTAAGAAAATTCTAAACATCCGAAAATAATGAAATTCATGTTTGTTCGCAGATTCTAATTAATAACCTGATAATTTGTGATAGACCCACCTGAAATTTATGCACAGAGAGAGAAAGTTACTGACATCAAAAAATTGAAATCATTTTAAATTTCGAAATGAAAATTAAGAAAACACAATGATAATTTAATGAATAATAATTCATTGTAAATATAAAATAAATAAATTAATTAATTTTCATTGATAATTGTACAGATTTTTATTAAAAAAAATTTGTTTAGACAAAAGAATTTTTACGTATTTCATCCATTTCTTGTACTTCGAAATCCATCTCTTTTTCATAGAATGCCAATAAGGCTAATGATATGGCTGATATGACTATACCGATATTCTGTAAGGCAAGTATCCATAATAATGAACGAAGATTTTTTCTCGATGCATTCTCCATTGTTCGGGTCATGGCTTTCATTACATCAACTAGAGCCATGTATAGAAAGAATCCACCTAATTGTAGACAAATGTAATCAAATTTTCAATATTATTTTAAAAAATATATACCTGATAATGCAAATATATAAGGACTAGCATCTTCAGCTTCATCTCCCAATACAATGCCTAAAGCTAATCCTGGATAACAGGAACAAGCCGATAGAAAAATGTAGAAAAAACTTTGTTTCATTGACATTCCAGCACGGATAAGTACTGCAAATGTACCAAGTCGATGTGTTACCTCTTCCAACATCACGGCCACCGATATGCTCATGCCGGCAAGAATATTACGATCAAATGCAGCACCAATAGAGAGACCATCAATAAAATTAAGTAATGCATCCCCAAGTACGATCATCCAGGCTACAGTATCGATGACGATTGTTGATGTTTCATGATCGTGTCGTCGTAATGCAACACTACGTACCATACGTTCTTTGGATGGACGGCGTATCGTAGGAGGTGTTTGTCGTGGTGCTACCAATGATGCCGGTGCAATCACATTCACAGTCGAAAGACATTGAACCAATTGATCACGAGTTGAATTAATAATGGCAACTTTATTCTGATTATCATTATTTGATGATGATGTTGTTGTTGATTCCATCACTATTTTTGGCTGATCTTCAAAATGGAAATCAAATTCAGGATAATCTTCTGGATCACTGATTTGATCTTCGTTATATGGATCCGGTGTTGGATGACGAATTGCATTAGTAGCTGATGAATATCTAAGATTTTCAATATTAACATCATCATCACGAAATATTACTGACGGTACACGTTTTCGACGATTACGTCCATAATGAGTTTTGAGAATTTTAATTAAAATTTCAATACAATAGGAAAAATAAATGCCACAAAATATACAAGTTGTATTCCAAAAATATGCCCGATATTTTTCATCCACAATATCAAATGCTTCCGGAAATAGATGAAGAATGGCACTTCCCTATGTAATTAAAAAAATAGGATATGAAATCAATCGCAATGAGAATAATTGATCACTCACACAAAGACCACCGACAGCTAAACCTTCAAAAAATGTTAATATTGTCATTCGTGATGATTTCTTTACAACTGGTAATAATATCAATCCACCCATTGAGACTAGAATCGATATAGTGACAAATAGAACGCCAAATATCCATACACGTTCAATACTTGGTTCGACTAGCTGTATTTTCTTATTCGAATTGGCAGCATCCAATAATTTTTTCACATCAGACACACAAATTGGTCGTGATTGTCGGAACAATAATAATGGACAAAGACGAGTGATTGCCTGATGAAATGTTGTGATTGTTGACGGTAACATTTGAATCAATTCACTAGCAGAAAGACAATCAAATGTTGCTGCTCGACATAATTTTTTGATATGTAATTTTGTATCGGATATGTATTCACAAGCTAGATCACGATCCTCCATCGGTAGTATACGATGTTTACCACGTCGTAATTGAATGTCATGTAGATAGTTCATTAGTCGATCAATACGTGATTCATTCATGACCAGAACACGATGTGATGCATCTAGAACAATATGTCCACGTAGCAATACGAATCGTACTAATTTCACAATATCAGACATATTATTTATCATACCGATTTGATGTTGGGTACCATTTTTATTATTCTTTACTTTTTTCTCATTCATTTCCAGAGATTTTGGTTTTGTCGTTGATGTTTTTGATTCAAAATCTTTATAGTTTGATGCAATCGGTTGACTTATCATTGCAGTTGTAGTTAATAACGTTCCAATATCATCTTCTGTATATGATTCATCAACAACTGAGGAAATCATGCGATCAATTTCATGTTTGACTGTTGATGTCATAGACCAAAATGGATTCTTAATATTATCCATATTGTTGGATAAAAATGAATCCGATAAACCATCTTCAGCGATATTTTCAGCCAAACATGGCTTGATGGCCAACAAATAAGGAGTTTGTATCAAAATAATGATGAAAATAATAGCATTAGGTATGGCCTGAAATAATCGCATAATAGATGGCCAATGTTTTTTCGGCATCCTCATCACATTCAACACCATTTTCCATCTTGAAATTTTATTCAATGAAGACATTCAATTAATGACGCTGATGATGATGACAATGGGCAAAAAAATGAGTTTTAAAGTATTCATTAAAAAAATTCGATTGATCTTTCGATCATAACTGATGATGATTTGTGTGTTTGAAACATTCAATCCGATCTATTTGGTTGCGATACCATGTTTTATTCAGTAAAATATTTTTGTCGTGTGTATGTTTATATGGTCTGGGCAATTAGATTCAATTATTATCAGGCATATGATTGATAAATGATTTCTCATATCAATCAATATTGTTGCATCTCTATTATCATTTGATAAATATATTTTGTTTGCGCTGAATAAGAATGAAAAATCGAATTTCGAATTTATCATGATTTTTCCTATATATGAAAATGTGGAAGATGGATCGAATTTCATTTGTTGTTCTTGATTTCAGTTTTCGACATGATAAATAAATGCTAATCTTTTTTTCGTGGCGACATCGTCATAAATTAAGCCGAATTAGGTTTTTTTCTAAAAAAAATCATTTTTAATTCGGGTCTAGTTTGATGTGACAATGGAACATTTGGACTTGCCATTTTGTTTTTTATCATATGGATGAAATTTTTTCATTATTGCCATTTAAAGTAACGCTGCTGTTTACAGCTTGAAAATGGTGTCATAAAACATTTTGTTGTTTTTACTATTCCATTCGGTCGGACTACTGTTAGTCTTTTTTTCGAAATTTTCGAATTTGTTTTATTTTTTGATTGACATTTTCTACATATTTAGAATGGATAATTTTTTTTGTTTCTGATTTGTTTGAAGGTGATGACAAGTATGCGTGTGTTTGGTGAAATAAAGAAAAAAAAATGGAACACAAAAAAAACTAAGATTTGATCGAAATATGTAAAGAAAGCTTTCATTAATCAATATGATTATAAGATTTGAACAGGTTTGATTCAATTTCAAATTCAAATTTTTGTTGTTGTTCAACGTAAAATACAAAATTTTGTTGAAACAATGAATCAAACAAAATTGCTTTACCAATGCCAACAACAATAATATGATCATTGTATGATGCGAAAAATTCCAAGGTTTCTAAGATTTGAATCTTTTATTCATTTATTCATTTGTTCTCCACCCCAAAGAAGAATAGAATTCAACAAAACCCTTCGATGTATTTGAATTCTCTAGTGATGAAGATTTCGTTTTTATGTTAAGCAACAGATATCCGAAAGTTTTTCAAAATGTGTTCCAAATATGATAACTTGTTATTTACTAACAACTTTACATGGTAAACGCCCTATGTAATCACCATTCATTCATTCATTTACAGCATTTTAACGTGGTTTCAATTCATACAAAGTTACGGCAAGATGATGGATCCAAATTCAGTCAACGAATGAATGATTAGGAAAAATTTGCATGACAAACAAAGTTTCAAATATCTTTTATGGAACGCATTATTAATTCTCGAATAATGCATTGTTGGTGTTATGTGTCAAATCCATTGAAAATCCCAAATATTGTTGTTGTTTTTGTTTCTTTTGTCATATTTATATGGATTGATAAATCTTGCACGATGATTTTAATTCAAATGTTTTTAAGAAAGTTTTCACTTCAGGATTGAAAGTTTCGTTTACATCGAATATTATCATTATCATTAACGTTTTTCTATGAAAAAAAGATTCATAATAATAATAATTCATTATGTGTGTCATCATCAAACATCATACAAACACTTGTTTGCTGAAGTTTGTTCATCATCATCTTCAATGCAGATTGAATGTTTAAATCTTAGATTCAAACATTTTATTATTTGTTAGCATATACTCAACGCATACTAATTTAATGATTATGATGATATTTAATCTTTAAGGATTATTGTTTGGTAAATGATTACGAGAAATAAAATAAAATTCGACGAAATTTTTTCTCCTATTTCCATTTCAATTGATGACCGACCAATCGGGGCATTATGATTATGATTATTATGCAAGAGCAATAAATGTGTGTTGAACGTGCAGCATTTTCAAATTTGAAACGGGCACGAGTTTCACAAATCGATTTTAAATTGATTGATTGCCTGTTGGCTTTATTTCCATTCTACACCAAATGAATGTCTCAATTAATTTCAAATTGTTAATTTTTTTCTGTTTGCTTGAAAAAAATGCATTTCGTGATGATGATGGTCATGATGTGTGTTCGATAACAACAAATGGCTCGAAACAGAATTGAAATTTTCATTCTTAACTTTTCACATGCGAATTCAATCGATTGATTAAATTGATTCGGGCACTAATAATATTGATAAACTTGATTCATTTCACACAATTGTGCATGAGATTCGACCCCATTACATAATCATTCAGTATAATCAAAATACAATTCCCCAGGTTTTTTCTAACATTCTCCAATTATAAAACAGGAAATAGTAAAATCCGTAAATAAAAACAGTTCACTTTTTACAACAGATGGCGCGATTAGTTTTTATCTTTAAATCAATCAATGGTCAATGGCTATTGGTTGATTTTTTGTTTTGTTTTTTATTTCGAATCATTTGTTGATATCTTCATTCTGTGTGGTTTATTCAAACAGCCATATATTTTCATCATCATTATCTTAATCATTATGATGATGATAACAATTATCCTGATTGAAAATTGCTACAATGATTGTGTTGTCGTTCAATAAGTTATGATGATGAATGACCTCGCCTCAGATTAATATGCATTCATGTCATTTAGGAAAAAAACATTTTTAGTTAATCGAATTCATTTTTGTAATGGCAAAACAGAAAAGATTCGATCTAAATGTAATTAGTTTTTGTTAACCAATAATTAATAATAATAATAATTTTCTTTTGTTTCATTTCAAATCATTGGTCAGTCTAACAGCTATTATAATCGATAATTTAATTGATATGTTTCGTGATAATGTCAGTGATTTTCAAGTCATCATTAATGGTTATTTTTTTTCTTTTGGAATAAATAAATATTTAATGCCACCCATATGAACAAAAATAATAACAATTGAGATGAAATGGAAATGAAATTCATTGAATTTGTCAGGATAAATTCCAAATCACAACAACGATGACGACAAAATTAGGCGCAAAAAAATTTCCTTGTTTTTCCATCCAAATTGAAAGGTGTCCAATTGTATGTAACGATAAAATTTTACGATCAACAAGTGTCAATCATTGTTTGTTGATGTTTGTGCTTCGGACTGAATAATAAATGAAGAAATTTGAAAGAAAATCCCGTTGACAATTGATGATGATGATTTGCCTTTTTTTCTCGCTCTTGTTTTGAATCCAAATATTGTGGCAACACAAAACACCGCCTGAAGGTCATGAAAATTTCTAGGATGATGATGATGATGATTATCTTGTGGCTACTAGTCTTGTTTTGATCAACAAAACTTGTTCAACAATATCTAATCGAACTAACAATCAATTCGATTTTGATTCGATTCGATCGATCTATTTTTCTATTTAATTTATTATTATTATATAGATCAAAACATTATAAAAATAGCCCTATGATTTATTCCAAGTCCTGTTTGTGTGTGTGTATAATGTAGAAAATAATGATTTGCCAAATAATTGATTGATGATTGCTTTGATTTCATCTTGTATCAATACAAGCACACACATACACAAAAGAAAGCAAAATATGGTTGTTTAGTTTTCTTTCTTCTAATCCATAATGATGATAATAATATTCTTATTCATCATACACAATTCTGATGCTCGTCTCTCTTTACTCGATTTTGATCATAAATTAATTGAATCGATCACCTTTGCTGCAATGTGCAACCTTTTTTTCTATTCACGATCTTCGATTATTCGAAAGAATTTCTGTTTATTTATACTGTGTACTTTTAGTTATATCGAATAGATCGATTCGATTATTGCTTGAATCAAGCTTTTGTCATTTAGTTATCATATTTAGATCAATACATTGCTTTTATTTATTATTTTGATGATGATGGAAAAAAGATCAATCAATCTAGGAATCGGAAAAGCCTTTATTCATATGTCTTAGCTGACATTCTGATAAATGGATTGGTAATAAGATTCTTTTTCTTCAGTTGTCGATGATGATCGATGATGATTCACTATTCATCGATTCCGGGTTTTTTTCATTACTCATTTTTTTATATAGGAAACTGATGAAAAATAACAATAAACAATCATCACGATAATCATCGAAGATTAAAAGAGATAAAAAATCATTCGTTGTATATGATTGGTGTTGATTGTTCAATCATCAAAAAAAAATCTCAAGATTGATGTGATGATACAAACATACGCAAAAAAAATTTACCTCGGAATAATCTTTGTTCTCTTTTTTTCTTCTTTTGCCCATTTCGTCTTGTCTCCCAATGTTTATATAAAAAACCATTTTGTTTTGTTGATGTTTTCACTGTTGTTGTTGTTAATTGGATAATCACGAATCATCGTTATGTTTTTTTTCTTGTTTTTTTTTGTTGATGATAATCATTTCAATATTAATGTAAAGCCAAGCTCATATATTTTTCTTCATTTGATTTCATTATATACAAAAAAATGTTTAATGAGATAGATAATCAATGACTATAGAATGGAGCTGTCAGGCATTTATTATAACGCAACGATGATAGACATTTTTGTTTAGCAAAATAAAAAAAATTTAATAAAAAAAACGGATATAATCAAGAAGAGAGAAAGAAGAGAAATCTTGTTTTAAATGCCGCTGTTTTTTATCAAATTCTTTTTAATTTTTTTTCCTTATTTTTTTTATTTCTTTAATTTCTTTCTACTTGATGATGAGGCTTGATTGATCGTTCATCTTCTTTTTCCATTGTCATTTTTTTTTCATCAAACCTTTTCTTTTGAAAAGGAAGATTTAAAATATTACAAAAAAAAAATTTCATTTTCAATTATTCGCGATTGGATTTAATGATTGAATAATAAAACAAAACGAAGATAAAGATAGGAAAAAAGAGACAAAGAGAAAGGGATCTTATTCTCTTGACATAGTTTTTTTTTGTTTTGTTTTTAAATCCAAATGAAAAAAAAATAAAATATTCGACAACTAAAACTCAAGGTTAACGGCATTCCATTCTGAAAAATTTTGCCACC